GCCAGGGCGAACAGCTGCCGCACACCTTTATGGCCTTATAGGCTTTGGGGAGAAGTTCTCTCCATGCCTTTGACACTCAGGTACAAACACAACAGAAACCCAAGAACCTTATTAGGCTGATATGTCGAAGGCTTAATCACCATATCAAGGTCAGATTCAAGGTCATATCGGACACATTACTACTTTGTATTCCTGACATTCAAGCATTCAAGGTGTAGAAATACAGCTGTGGATAGCAACGTATTCATAACAAGTGTGTGTGTGTATGTGTGTACACAAAGGAGAGAGTGAAAGACACACTAGGAACATTGGGCATTGATGGATGGGGAGTACAGATTTCGCTCGGGTGCCCTTTAGACTTAAATTCAAACCCTGCTGCCATACAGACCTACCTCTCCATCAATGTGTGTGTGTGTGTGTGTGTGTGTGTGTGTGTGAGGGTGTGTTAAAAGTGGAGAAAAATTCACAACTTCACAAAAAAAAAGCTCTGGATTTGAAATAGTGTTCAGAGTTTACTTCCCTTAGCTTCAGGTTCACACACACACACACACACACACACACACACACACACACACACACACACACACGCACACACAGCCAGCTGTTTCCAGCTGTATGAGGGTAAGCAAGGAGAGACAAAGAAAGTTTATATATTTGTCCCTCTGTTCAAGAATAATGGAAGCACACCGATCCAGTCTTAAATCTTCCCATCTTGTCACATTTAGATAATTATGTTCTGCGACAGGATGACAAAGCAAAACAATCATTGCTAGTGGCTTCATGCTAATAGGCAGGTTTAGCCACTGAACTGCAGAGTGTGTGAGCGATGCCGGGGGTGTCTTCACTTTCTTGATGAGCTCACCAGTGTTCCTGACAGATGGTGTTTGTTACCAAAAGAGAATTGTACTTTCATGGCTGTACGATTCACACTTTTTCACTGCACATCCCCCCGGCTCAATCACAGGAAGTGTTTATCCATGCATTTACTTCTCCTCCTCCTCTGAGATGGATAACCTGCTCTCTCCTGGTTGTATTTTTATGGCTTCTCACACCTTTGCCAGGCAGACTGCCTCAACAGCAGCACAAACAAAACTATTTTGCGGTCAAATACAAAGGGTGTAAGCAGTGGGATTTTTTTTTTTTTTTTTGATCTCCCACATTCCATCTGAAACTCCTTTAAGATTTCATGAAATCTAAAAGCAAACTTCTACCTTCTCTTGCACTTTCAGTGCTAAGAAAGAACATCTCTTCTCCATTTGCCTAAATCTGTTTCATCAGATCTGCACAAAAGGCTAGAGAAGAAAAAGGCTGTGTCAACTCTGCCAGAGACTCAGACAAGACTGCTGGACTCCGGGAAGCGCACAGACAAATAAAGTAATGTTCCACCTTTTGATGCACAGACATCCGGAGTCTCCTCTCTCTGTCTAATGGAGAGATAGTGGTCTAATATGCCACTGTGGGTCTTTTACAGATTAATACGTTAATGAGCTAGCTACAAATGAATAGCTCCTTTGGAAGGAGCAGCCATAAGTGTTCCCGGGCTAATACAGTTAATAAGCCATAGTCACGCCACAAAATGTACCACAGAGGAGGCTCTCATAGCTGCAGGGGAGAGGGATGATATGGTTCATTAAAGATTCACTGATTTATTCTCCTGTTCATGGCTGTGGTCATGGCAGTTCGTACATGACCAGGCCTTGTTTAGTTGGCACACAAAGTACACTAACATGTCTGCAGGGCAAGAGTAGTGGGATCTGAACCAAGATCAAACAGGCATGACATCATGCAATCAGACTGTGCTTTCTTGTGGTAGCGGAGAGCAAATTGGAGTATGGGAAAAGAATGCGACTTTTCCAACTCTTGTCTATAGCTTCTTTTGTTAGCATATTTATAATCCCTTTTCTTAGCCAGGCAGTGTCAAACAGTAACATTGCTCAGTTTTCATATATGGTTGCCAACAATCCTTTGGTTTTCACAGCAACGGATCTTCTGAATGTATGAAGAAGCATCTACATCTGCATTCTTAAACATGCTTTCAGTATGCAGGAGGCTGTATGCATGCATCCTATCTCCTCCTTAAGATGTGCAGCAGCTCCATCATATCTGAATGATGACAGAGACAGTGAGTCTGTCCTCTGCAGATTAGCGCTGTTCATTAGCTTGGTAATGAAGTCTCCCTTAGCAGAACAGTGGGTGGTCATGCCCCCTTTTAACATGGACCTTGCGAGCTCTGCTACATCTACAGAGGCAAACAAACGCACAGACGTTAACAGAAGTTAAAATATGCCTCCTACCCCGATAATGGATTACAACCTCACCCACCTGAGGAATTCTTTTAACAGTTGCCGAAGTTGCTGTTTGGATCAATAACAGCTTAACCGTTTTTTTTTTTGTGAAGGCATAAGACAACGATAGATCGGAGCATTTTTCAATTTTCAAGCATGACCTGGTGATCAGTGAAGCAGATCTCATCAAGGAACATCAAGCGACCAAGCGGTACAATGTCACATGTCAGATGGTGAGCTCTAAATGACTTTAAGAAGATTTAAAAATGCTAAAAGTCAGAGGAAATCCTAGATCAATTTCTAAATCCTAGATAAAATCCTAACTCCAAAACTGGTCTCTTCAAAGAGTTTGACAGGGGAGTGTAGCACATGACTAAGACTTGTAAAAATAGTTGATCATACCCACAACAGAGTTCAAAGCGAGCCTTGGCAAGCGTAAATGGACGATGTACCAAAACGGGACTATCTTTGCTTCAGAAGACAAGTGTTGCCAAGCTCTTGCCGTCGGTCTTCGGAGAAGCAAATGACTCTGTGTCATAGTCAGAGTTGTCTTATGATAGAGCCAATATTGGAATCTGTTTTTATAGATACCAAGAGAGATACCAAGGCCAAATACCTTTCAAAGCAGCATGGTTTTGTCACTGGATGACAAACCTTCTTTTGAAAGCTAAAGGACAGCTGAACAGAGCTCACCAGGATATGGATTTATACTTAAAGCACAGACTAATGGGTTTTGTTCAGTAAATCTCAGACAGTGGTTTTGATTGATTACCCCCTGCTGTTGGGATACTGGCTCTGCTGTCGGTGCTCAAGACACTCTGGCATGTTTTATCCACATCCCAACAAGGAGCAGCAACGACCTGACCAGCGCAGTGTGTAAGTGGGAATGTAATGGTTATTGATTAGTGTATTAGCCATATCGTGGCGTGGGTAGCCTCTGCGCTACACTAAAAAAACTAGACCGGTGGTTTTAAGCCACACCAGCCGTTGTGATCTTCTGAACGTTAACTTCGATTCCTTGCATCTCGCATATACTTATATTGCAATGGCTTATGGTGGGATTTTTCTTTTTTGGGGCTAAAATATAACTAATTTGCATTGACTCATGCTGTTTTTACTTTACTTTATAACATCAAGTAGTTATGTAAACTCCATCAAGCACAGTACAGGAGTACAATGAGATTTGATTACCAATTAAGCAATTGTCATCATGAGTAGAGACACGACTGATGAGATATGCCCTACTTTCTGTTTGTGTCTTTGCTGTCAATTGCGGCCCCATGGAGGGTAGTGGAAAAACCATTTTGATATGTCAGTGTGCTGAATGAATAGGCCTTGTGGTGACAGTAGAGGATCAGTTGAAAATGTCTATCGGGTATACTGATGGCTTTTTTTTTTTTTATCTAGTGAGCAACACTCAAGTTTTTCAAGAACAAATAAAATTATAATATTGTGACCTCAGTGACTCAAGAGAGATTAAAGGTTTGATGGTATGTGGGAATAATGCTGTGTATCTTGTATATTTTTAAATTATATTTTGACAGCAGAGAGTGGGCAGGTGACATGCAACAGGTGACATTTGTTGAATGGAAACAGACGAAGAATGACAAGCGCTTAATCTCTAACATAGAAGCCACCAGCACGCACCCATGTCTGTAGTATTTACTTATGTGCTCATCATAAGACACAATTTGACGTTTGTGGCCAGAGCTATGTGTAAAATGTGCCTATGATGGACAGAGGAAACAAAGTACACCTTAAGTATGAAGAGACTGCTGAATCAGCATCTGGCTCTCCTGCCGTCTGGCGCTTGGGGAAGCCAAAAAGAATCAGCTTACTCCAACGAGGATCTTATCACTGGGCCTTTCCCTCATTATGTTTTCCTGTCAGCTTGCTTGGATGTCTCAGCGTACAGTATCCCCTGATGGCCTATTTACCGCCCACATGAAAAAGAATCACAACACTTGTACCTAACCTGGCACCCGCTGCTTTTGTGTGCATGGATGAGTGAATTTTCGCTCCTCCGCGTTCCTCTCTACTCCCTCCATGCTAGTCAGACAATGTTTCACACCAGACTCCTTTGTTTAACTGTGTAGGTGGAAAATACCAACATGATAATTAGGGATGATTAACGTGAAGCTTCTGCAGCAGATCAAATGATTCTCATCAAAGCCAACACATGCCCTAACACCTCTTCACTGTTTTGTGTGTGCGTGTGTGTGTGTGTGCGCGCGTGTGTGTGTGTGTGTGTGTGTGTGCCAACTGTAAACCGGCTTGTTGTCTCAGGATCTGAAGAACCTCCTGTGCCGCCACCTTTGCTGTAGCCTCAAGGAGATACAGTAGACGGGGATTGCAGAGAGTGAAAATGTGTTTTAAAGTGAATTTTCCTCGCCATGTACGAAGTGAACGTAGGATCCGCAGAAAACAGTTCAGAGGCGGATCTGTCTTTAGTTATATACTGCACAAAAATCTGCTGATTAAAGGTAGAGCACAATAAAAAATATCACAAAAATATCACAATGATACTGAAAATCATTATGTGTGGACATAATGTGTACTGTGAATGATGAATGTTGTATGAGTATATGATGTATGAGTTTTTTTTAAACGCAGAGTGAAGGACACTGGAATGAGATTAGGGCTAAAAAGAAAAAGAAGAATGATTTGTGTTCATGTGAGTGTTTGTGCATGTGGAAGCTGGCATGTGTCACTTACAGGTCTTTTCTGGACCGTCTCCTGAGGCTTGACATCCATCTTCATCATCGCAGTCTGTGGTGCTGCCCTCGTCTGTTTCCCCGCTACCCAGCTCGTCCCAGGCATCGACCTGGCCCAGTTTTGGAAACCTCTCCTGGGTCTCCTGAAGCACAAAAACAACAATGCAAGGTTTATTACACACTGTTTCGTGCATAATATTACTATTTCTGTACCACATTTAACTGCTTCTATCCAATCCCATCAGGAAGTAATGACTGCATGGATTTAAAAATGGAAATATCACTGATTTTCTGATTTCACGCTTAGTGTCTGTGGGAGTCTCTGACAAAATTTTATTTAACACAGCTGAAATCCCTTTGTGAATCCTTTTAACACAAGCCTATTTACGCAGAAAGATGCCAGTATGGGGCACAGTGTGTCCCAGGGAAACATTGTGCTTCCTTGTGACTCCTGTTACTGTTCTGAAGTTGACACGCCACTTCTCTTGCCCTGACATATCAGGCCTTGTAAATGTCAGGGTCCAATAGATGACACACACCATCCTGGGGATATAGACGAACAGTGTGGGTGGTGTACAGCAGCCAGGTCCCTGGGTGGTAGGATGATGTGTTGCATTTAATTACAACCGCATTTTAAGGAGAGCATTGATTATAAGGTTGAGAAAGAGCCCCATAAACAAAAGGAAACTTCATGACTAGGCCCTGCAATGTTTAGATTTTGTTAAACTCAATAAAACCTCCTGGTGATCAGTTCTTATAGCTACTCTATGTTCAATATTTTGCAAAAAAAAAACCCCAAATAAATCACGACAAACTCTGGCAAACTCTGTGCATGATCAGTATTTGTTTGCAATTAGAATGTAAAACATCTGCAATTATTTTGACATTTGTTGATTTTCCCCTTCAGTTCACAGTTCATGCATCAAGCAAATCACGATCTGTGAAATTTGAATCACAGTGCATCAAAACATCAATGAATTTCATACACTTTACACTTTTCTTATACCACACATCTTGAACAGATTGTGAATCTTTTACCATGCGTGTGTTGTCACGGCTTGTTTTACTTTAAACAAAGCATCATGTGTACGCCACCGATGCATCTAACTGTGATCAACACCTTGACTTGCAGATAACATATCACATCACACTGTGACTGGAGTTCTGCAGCCTGGAGCATGAAACACTCCTCTTTATGATGTTCTTCCCTCTCAGCGTGGGGCCAACTAATTGGACCACCTGCTGGGCCTTCCTGCTGTCCACCATCATCAAGGTGGCCTTTGTTCCATCACACCATGTCGGACAAGGAGTACTCTTGACACAACAACAAATGGTGCTTTGGAGTAAGAAGGTGTTAGACTGACATGAATACCAGATTTGTAGAACATGTGCAACAATAGAGACACACACATTTTTGCTCATGTTGACCATCATTTAGCTTCATGCACACATGCACACACAAGCACACCATTAAACATTCATGAGAAAGCTGACAAAGATCAATCCTGGAGCACATCTGACCTTCATATGGAGGGAACAGCCACTAAAGACATGTTGAGAGGTGGGTGGGAGGAATGGGGGTGGCTTGGGTTGTTGAGGGATGACTAATATCCTTGCCCCTGACACCAGACTCTGTCTTTCTATCAACACACCTAGCAGCAAAGGTGACCTTTAACCAATTGTCTCCTATGCCTTGAATGCCCCAAAAGAAACATGCCATGAACGCTGATGGGCTCATGTATACTGATTACAATGCAAAGCTTAATGTAAATGTGAACCAAGACTAATCCATGTCGGCTGCTCTCTGAGGTTGTTCTTTGAGCTACATCTTACATGTCAGCACGCTTAAATGGTCTCAGTGACAATGTGCACAACTATCTGGATTTGCAGTGGTTTGGATGTATTTATGTATAATTTGTTTTTTTTGTTTGTTTTTTTTTGTATGAAGACTTATGTAATTTTTACTTTTACTTTTCTGTTGTATCTTGTGGCCTTCTACATATAAAGTTTTTTTAAAATCTTTTTTTTAAATGTAAGACTTTTGTGGGGGTGCTACGCCACATCAAATGGACACAGTTTGGAACAAGGTCCCCTTTATACAACCCTTTAACTGCACTTTTCCAGGCTTTGAACAAAACATGGCACCCTTGTCCCGTATTGGACATTTCTCACCAGCCTGGAACAGTGATTGGCCTGAATCCACATGACCAAAGGCCCAACCCACCTTTTTGTTCCATACCTATCTTATTTAAATGTCACCCGTGATGTGTTTTATAATGACCCTGATGAAGACCACAAGCTGAAATGCGTTGGTCAAATAAAGTTCTTCTTTTACTACAAGTGTTGCTTGACTTTTTTTTTTTTTTTTTTTTACCTCTTTGGACCTCCTGCTGTTTCCATACACCTTGAAAGTAGCTTAAGTTGTGCCAGACGCCTTATTCTGTTTCCACTCAGTGACAATGTTAACATGCTGATGTTTAGCAGGTATAATGTTAACACTGTAAAACAGGTATTTGGTTATAAACTGAAGTCCATGCTGGTGCCACTAGGTGAAAAGTCAGGGCCCTGCAGAAATCATTAGGACAGATGATTGTCATTTGGGGACACCATATATCTGTAGCAAATGTCATGGCAATCCATTCAGTAGTTGTGAGATATTTCAGTCTAGACCTTCCTAACTTGGAAAACAATTATATAAAGGAGTAGATGCCCAGACAGTCAAGGCCTTCAACTGACAGGCAGACTTAATGAGAAAACCACACTAAACTGATGCTGATGTATAAATGTTTGATTGTCACCAATAATTCTGCAGCAGCAACAGCAGCAACTGTTGTCAAAGTTATCAGGAGAACAGTTACAGAGCACATTGGTGTTCTTTGAGTTTTTAATGCCTTAGTACTTATTACCAGTTTCTGCAAGAAAGAGAGAGAGAGAGGAAGAGGAAACGGAGAAATGATCCTGACACTGTACTGATACTGTAACTCATTACATCTGTCATGTATCTCATTTATACCCAATGTAAATGCACTCCCCCTCACTCACGCCTGAGTGGGAGAAAATGAGTGCGACATTGAAAATGAGTCATGTACAACCATAACACAAGGCCAGGCTTCACGAAAATCGAGTGGGCTCCTCAGCGGAAGCAGGTAAAACATATCACTTGTGCTCACCGCAAACGTGGAAGACACTGACACTAGCTGGATGGCTCGGTTTTCATAGATGGACAGTTACAAGAGGATTATTTAGAAAGAATGCAAACAATACTGCACACTGCAGTACAGCTTTGCATTTTATGGTTATGGATAGACTCTCACTACAACCTGTCAACAGGCTCTTTGTGTGTCTTGTACTGGTTCCACCTGTTTTGAGGTTGCAATGTGATATGCTGTCTTCAAATAAGGACAAGCTTTGGTGAGGGGACTCATGGCTCATTAGAGACACAATTAAAAAGCTCTTTCCCATCTCAGCTGTCGGGGTACTGGTTCTCCTTACGCTTTGAGGAATCCATTCTGTTGCTGTGAATTAGAGGTGAAAGTACATTGATTTGTGTACAAAATATAAGCTAGAATTTAAGTATCTATCCACTGCTTTAATCCAGATATTTTAGCAGACGCCTGCAAAGGGCAGATAAGCGATGACGGGAGATAGACAGCAAGAGAGAGAAAACATCTTCCTTGATTCTGGACAGCAACCGCGATAAACACATTAAGCTTTTTTATTATGCAGAGCAACTAAATAAATTCAATGCACATTCCAAGAGTTCACGAGCAAATGCTCTGCTGAACAGCAGAATGTTGTGTACCAACACCATCCAGATAACCAGTTGGGTATTAAGCTAATAACCGTGCTGTTCAGGGGACGTTTAACACAATGCCGCTTGGCCCAGCTGTCCTTAAAGCATGTTAATTAGAAAAGGAATCAATTAAGGCGCCGTCGCTGTGGAAACCACAGTCGGGTCGTTGTAGAATTGGTAGTTGGCTGCTGTCCAACGCAGTTTGTAGATTTGTTGTGACTAAGTCGGGACGGCAAGACTGCCAAAGATTTCAGTTATGCCTTTCTGTTGAAATGTCATCTCCCACTGTGGTTATTTCAGAGGTAACACGCAGGGAACGGAATTGTCGTATTCCAACAACATACTGAAAAAGCGAATTTCTAATTTGTCCTTGGAGATATACAGTATTCCAATATGTGTTCTTGAAGACTGGTGGACGCTTTATATGTGGTGAATAGTCTCTCTCTCCTTATCGGTTTTCTCATAGAAAAAGACTGTTGCTGCACTAAGGACCTCCTCTGGGTTTCAATGAGAGTCTTAAGCAGTTCCTCAAATTGGATTTTTTTTTTTTTTTCCCCTAGCGTTCTATCTGCTTTAGAGTAGAGGCAGTTATCACATTAGAGGATAGTCCACAGACACCATTGCCAAGCCATGTATGTTCATTTCAAGAACAAAACAAATTATATAAGAAAACAACATTTTCTAGAATCCAACGACTCAGGACCCACAGACGAACAACGCGCTCAACAAAGCAGAGCACAGTCTATTCATGCCATCCAAAATAACAACAACAACAACAACCTTTCAAAGGCTCGTCCTCCTGATCTGTCACACTGCAACATGTGCTAAATGTGAGCAAGTGGGCAGAACATTTCAATGGCAGCAGCAGTCTTTATGTGATGCGCCGAGCAGAGATTTGCTGTGACTTTAACGGTACAAATGTTTTTGGTCTAACATGATTCGTCATTCTCTTTCTGACATGTAAAACAATGCTGAATATCCCTCTGCTGTTGGATTAGATACTGTTTCCCAACAGCCTATGGATAGTGAGAACATGCTGTAAAAAAAAGAAAAAAAGAAGAAGAATATTTAAGCTGTTCAAGTTTAGTCAAAATTTACAGTTAAATAGCTATTTTCTTACTTTTTATTAAACTGGTCTGAACCATACTAAGTTCAAAGGTAAACTTCTATAATTGTATGTTCCTTATAATCTTGTGATTGTACTGCATTATGGACTATGGGGAAAACCTCTGGTTGACAAATGGATTTCTCAGCCTCTTTTATGATACATTTCATCCTGCTCAAATATCACTTGCAGATTTAAAGTGAAACCATTTCTCTTATTTCTTTTTTTTTTTCTTTGTAGATTTA